TGATTAGTGATCTCACTTCTTCACACTGAATGTTATAACAGGTAAAAATATAAAATCACTAAATGTGATAAAAGGACTCTTACTAATAGTGAATGGCATGTAAACAAGTCAGTAATTTTATAGTTAAACATTAGTTGGTTAAATAATCTTCAGTTATTTTGACTGCTAATACCATTAGGGGTGACCTAAATGGGACTAATAATCATCTACTACTTTGCTGCTTCTGAAGTTCTTATTTTCTACATTACATGAACTTCAGAAGTAAAATAGCAAATACGATGACCTACTATTTCTAGTTATTGGCTAAGGACATTTTAAATTACAATGTTTTTACATCAGTGCACAAAGTATTGTAAATAAAAGGACAAGAAACAATGTTATGCTTGTGAGCTAGTTCCTGATATTATTTGTACCACTCAGTTATGGGCTTGTTCTGACATTATTAATGCCGAATTAGTACCAGATGGGCATGAATTTCTAAGGAATGATCGCACCAAATCCAAAAGCAGTGGCTGTTTAATTTATATAAAATCTAACTTAAATGAAGGTGTCTGTTACTATAGTTCTTTAGCATTAATTGAAAATGAACAAATCCTTCATAATGTAATATCTAAAGCATGTAAGGATTATATTTCAGTAGTAATTGTCAGTGATTTCATCCATGGAATTATTGACTGGGATTTCCTTCAGTCTTGTGCAGAAGGAAACACTTTTTGGATCTAAATAAGAATCTTTTTCTCCTGCAACATGTTACTGAATCTACTAGTACTAGACCTTGTTTTAATTTGTACTCTCAATCTGATTAACAATACAAGTGTTAGCAAACCCTTCAATGACCACAATTTTATATAATTTGACATTATTTGTTTGGTGGAAAACTACTTTCTACGACTACAACAGTGGTGGCTATGCAAGAGTGAGTACATTTTTTTAGGGATATATTGTATGGACTGGTTTATGGGCCTTTCTGTTGAGGATAAAAAGTTAAATGTTTTTGAAGACATTATGGATGAAGCTATTACTAAGTATATGCCCCTCTAAACGTAAGAGATGCAAACCATTATGGGCTGACAGAAAGGCTGAGTCCACCAGAAGGAAGAAGTATTATCTTTTCAAGAAGTATAGTGAATCCAAGGAGCATACAGATTATGTTTGGTACAAAAGCCAACTCAATCGTGCCACAAAGAAGCTACGATGGGCCAAGAAACAACCTAAATGAAAACTGGCTGAAAACACAGAGAAGGATCAGAAGTCTTTTTACAGATATGTTAACTCTAAAACTGAAGAATGAGTGGGCCCAATCATTGATGATGATGGTGATGTGGTCACAGATAACACTAAAACATCTAATATTTGAAATTAGCACTTTATCTCTGTCTTTAATGAAGAAATTCTTGATAATATACCAGATCCTATACATACTTTTATTGGTTCTATGGAGCAAGAGTGAAAAAATGTTGATCTATCAGCAGAAATTGTCCAAAAAAAAAAGCTAGATAATTTGAAATATGGTAAAACATCTAGTATTGACGAGTTCTTCTCTTCAGGTCTTAATGAAGTGGTACATAAAATTATTTATCCTCTTATTGAAATTTTCAGAGCAAGTATGGACTCATCTGAAGTCCCGCCGGATTGGAAAAATGCTAATGTTTCACCAAGAAGGGCTCGAGAAAACTACATTCAAATTATAGTCCTGTTAGCTTGGAAAGTCAAACAAGTAAAATTCTTGAATCTTTTATTAAGGATGCCATTATCTTACATCTAAAAACTTTTAATCTAATCAGAGACACAATATGATTTTATCAGTGGGAGATCATGTTTAACCAGTTTAATTACTCACTTAGAAGAAAGGACTAAATACATTGACGAAGGTTGCCTAGTATATATAATTTATTTTGACTTTAGTAAAGCTTTTGATAAGGTTCCCCATGCCAGATTACTTAAGAAGCTTTATGTAAATGGAATATCTTTACAAGTGTTAAATTGGATCCAAGAATTGTTATATAACCATCAACAGTGAGTTGTTATAAATGGCATCATCTGAGTGTTTCTGTTAAAAGTGGTGTGCCTTGAGGTTCTATGCTTGACCCCACTTTATTTATTATTTATAGTAGGCTTTTAAAATTTGCAGACTATACCAAAGTTTATTATTGTATAGCAACTGTAGCTGATGCAGCTTGTCTACAAGAAGATTTTTGGAATATGTTAAACTGGTCAATTGAGTGGTAGATGCTTTTTAATCCCCAAAAGTTTGTTTACATTTGAGGTTCAACAATGAACAATATGACAAAGATATTCTAACGGACAGTCTAACTGAATCTGTTAATGAAGAAAAAGACCTAGGAGTGATTATCCATAAATGTCTTAATGTTAGCAACCAATGTGCTAAAGCTGTGACAGCCACAGATCAGGTTTTAGGTAGGATTAAGAGAACTGTTCAAAATAAGGAATGTAATGTGATGCTTAGATTGTACAAATCAGCTATCAGACTTTACCCAGAATATAATATCCAAGTAATGGTTTCCATATTTTCAAAAAGATGTAGATCTACTTGAAGGAATTCAGAGGAGATTTTCTAAGATGGTAACAGGTTATCATAATTTTCCTTATGAAAGGAGGATACAGAAATTAAACCTCACTACACTTGAAACCCATTGTTTAAGGAGTGACATAATTGAGGTCTTTAAAATTATTAAATGACTTGAAGGATTAAATACTGCAGATTCTTTATAGTTAATCATTCTATAACTAGAAGCCACCAGTATAAAATATGTAAGCATAGCTCCAGGTTGAATTTTAAGGAAATTCTTTTTCTCTTTCAGAGTAGTGGATATATGAAATAATCTTCCAATTGAAACAGTTTCTGTGAGCAGTGTAAATTAGTTTAAGTGCCACCTTCAAAGACATTTAAGACACAGAGACAAGCTTATATTAGCCAGCACACAGCCAGGTCCCTGCTTCGTCACCCTCTGCCCCATCCTCAACATTTGAGAAGAGTAGAGGACACAAGGTAAGCTTACTCACTCTTTAAAAAATTAAAAATTTAAATCCATTTTTATTTTTAAGGAAATCATCTATTCCTTATAATTTCCTATAAAGGGCTGATGTCCGTTACTATCAGCAGTAATTTATTTCATAATCAATCATCCTAATATAAAAATAAAACTACTTTAACTAGAGCCTAGCCTGTCTTTTCCAATTCATAAAATTTGTGAGCTCTTGTCCTATTATCTTCAAAATAAAGCACATAAGATCATCTCTTGCCTCTTACCCTTCTTTTCACAAAAGATAAATCAAGAGACCTTATATCACATCCCTGTAAAATAACCATTCCACTCCAAGAACCATTGTAAGAGCCCTCCTTCGGACTGTTTCAAATACGTCAATTTCCACCCTTAGATACGGAGACCAAAACTATACGTACTCCAAGTGAAGCCTAAATAGTGATTTGTATAGAGATAATTACCTCTTTTGACTTATAATCAACATTCCTATAAATTCACCCTGTAGTTTCATCAACATTACTACTACTAGCAACAGAGAAGTGCTTTGATAGCTTCAGTGACTTATCTACTATTATACCTTGATCCACTTCTTCAGCCATGCAATAATTTATGAGAGTAACCCTTTTTAATTTTGAAAAAGTAAAATAACACTTCAAATGTATTTTTCTTACACATTCGTTTTTAATGGAAATGAGATCAAACAAGATGACTGCATTAATTCTGAGCTGGTTAAGAAAAAATTGAAAAGTTTAAAAAACAATAAGGCTCATGGGTCTGATAATACTTCCTCAAGGTTTTTGAAGGAGGTTAAAGATTTGACATGTGAGCCACTTACTACTATTTTTTGTCAGTCCTTGAATAGTGGGCAGGTACTAGAGGATTGGAAGTTAGCTAATGTAACTCGTTTTTTCAAGGGAGGTAATAAAAACTGTCCCACTAATTATAGGCCTAATAGTCTTACATCAGTGGGAGGAAACATTTTCAAAAGTCTGATAAAAGATCCTTTGCAAAGTCAATTAACAAAGTTTAGAATTTTATTAGATAGTCAACATGGTTTCACTAAGGGAAAATCTTGTCTTATAAATCTTTTGACATGCTTTGACAAGGTTACTGCTAATGTAGATGAGGGTAAGGGTGTAGATTTGGTGTATCTGGATTCTCAGAAAACATTTGACAAGGTGCCACATAAAAGGCTCATAAAAAACATTATCTCTGTAAGTGTGGGGGATAGGTTAGCAAATTGGATAGAAGAGTGGCTGGATGGAAGAAAGCAGAGGGTTGTTACAAATGTAATTCAGTCAAACTGGATTAATGTCCCAAGTGGGGTACCTCAGGGCTCAGTCTTAGAACCTTGCTCTTTTTGATTTACATCAATAAATAGATGAAGGAATGATCACTAAACTACTTAAATTTGCAGATACTATTAAGGTTTTGGGTGTTGCAGGTTGTGAAGAGGATGCTATTGATTCACAAAAGGATTTAGACCTGAAATAGGCTTAGTATGAAAATCTCTTTAAAATTCAGTTACACCAGTCATATATTCGTTTATAAATATAAGACTATACAGAATGGATTAAAAATTTCGATGATTGCTTTATCTTTTAATTTATAAGTTTGCAACTAAATTACTGCAAAACTAGTGGTCGATGTGGATACATTTACTTTTTGATTGAAACTAATTTATGTCAACTTACACGTAATTAATTGTACTTTGGTAGAATGATAGTGTTATTATAATATTGCAACGTAAAATGAAAAAAAAATGTAACTTTACTAACAGTATAGCATTAACACATTAATATTACTACTATTACGGCTGGTTTAACTTCTACTTCTAACATTTCGTAGAGCCTCAAGCTTTATAACTAACATTATGTTTTAAGAATCGAAATTTAAATTTGAACGAAGATAATAGTAATAGTAATAACTAGAAATAAAATGCGTTTGGTTACTTATTAGAATCAATAAATATACTAATATTGTAATTATACTCACCCCATAGTTGCGCTTTCTTTAGTCATAAGTATTATATATCCCTAAACCGACAAAAAATCCAAACACACTTCAACTATTAATGCAAATTGAAATTTTTGAGAATTTGCAGTTTTTTTTCTCCTCCTTCACCCTAAACGACTGTATTTCGAAATACTAGCCCCAGCCATAACAAAAGCAATGATTTGAACGCATGCGTAAAGCAACTGATATAACCCTAACTCACGTCCATCTCGACATCGACGAGATATGGTTGGTATTGACTTTTCTATATCAGTTTCACTACGGTGTTAATTATTGGTTAGTTCTTATTTTATCTTACTGTGGTTTTAAATTATCAGCTCTTTCGATATGTTTATGTGTTCAGAAAAAGAATTTTTTGGAGTATAAAGAACACTGCTATAAATAAAAAGATTATTTTATGCATGGTATGGCAACACCAGATGCACCAGCTTCTGCTCAACCAGTTCCAGGTGAGTTTAGTTAGGCCTAGCTGTAGTGTTGCAACTAAAAAGTAAGAGTAACTAAGCCTAAGCGTAAAGTAAAGTAATGATAATTAAAAATAAACTATTTTAAAAGGATTATGTATGGTCAACGTTATGATACGTCTAGTATTGTGCGTGTGAAATTAAAATAAATAGTCATAGTTACTAGTACTAATACTAATATGGTGTTATGCAGAGATTATGAAATGTACTTTGAGGCTCCATATAATTTATAAAGAGCTTGATAAAAAAAATGAAGAAAAATATCTATAGTATAGATGTGAGAAATATATTAGCAAATTGGATAGAAGAGTGGTTGAACGGAGGAAAGCAGAAGGTTGTTATAAATGGAGTTCAGTAAAACTGGATAAATCATTTAATGTTACAAGCTGGGTACCTCAAGGCAGTCTTAGGACCTTTTTTTATTTATATCAATGACATAGATGAAGGAATGATCACTAAACTACTTAAATTTGCAGATAATATTAAGGTCTTCGGTGTTGCTAGCCGTGAAGAGGATGCTGCTGATTTACAAAAGGATTTAGATCATTAAGTGAGTTGGGCAAATAAATATAACAGAATTATTACTGTTAGAAGTATTATTAAGATTTTTTTACATTGAGTGTTGTGTCAAAAATAAAAATAGTTATAACGGTAAGTAATTCAGTAATTAATAATACTATCATTAATAGCAAGGTATAAAGTACAGGTTGGTTCTGCTGGCCAGTTGCCTTCCTGTGGTTTGGAAAACACGTGGTAGAACCTATATGAATTTGTGGGGCATCTTTTTTGCAATGTTGAGTATGAACATTGAATTCAAATCTGAAACAGTGACTTTCCGTGATAGTTATCCACAATTCTCTACAGTCTACTCCCCCTTCAAAGGGGCATTTTACCACTGAGTCCAAATTGGTGGTATGTGCCCCCCTTCCCCCAGGTTCTGTCATTTATAGTTTGGAATTAGAGACAGCACAATACTTCCTGGACAAGGCACTGATGAATGTGCTGCAGCAGGACTCCACAACTGGAGAGAGAGGAAAGCCTATGTTTTGGCTAGTAATAAACTCCTCGGACTTGTAAATAAATAAGTAGTAATATTAATAATTGAGTTAAATTGACATTTTGTTTGAAATACATTACATCCATTTTAATATAAAAATAGACTTCATAAAGTTATTCAAAATTAATAATTACATATGTGGTAAAATAACATTACTTTTGCTATGAAAAGTAAACTTTAAGTCATATTTCCAATCACTTTTCAAAAGTAACATTAAATTTAAAATATAATTCATTGTCTTGTAGTCTTTGTTCTTATTAAAGCTTATTCAATATCTAAGGTTAAAGTAGAATACTTTCATTTGCCTTAGTGTGTAGCATAACATTTAAGGACAAAAAGGGGCTTATTAGACACCTGTCCCATCCATTAACCCAAAAAACTTTAAAAGTAATAAAAATAAGAACAACCACAAAGCCAGTCTTTATCTTTTACATATTTATCAAGCCTTCTCTTACATTTTCTGCATCCACCACATCTGAAGGCAACCCATCCCAAAAGTCAACTACCCTGTTAAAAAAATAAAATTTGCAACTGAAAATGACTCCTGTCTTGCTAAAATCTATTATAGTGTCACCTCGTATTACCGGTAATTCATACCATTAATTTTGAAAAAGTTTATGCATTTACATTTTTAGTTCTCTTAACAATCTTAAGCACTTCAGTCAGTTTCTCTCCAACTCTTCTGTTTTAAGAGAAAACAATTACAAAGATCTTAACCTGACTTAGTGTGACAATCTTTCCATCCAAGGTATCATACTAGTAGCCATCCTTTGAACCATTTTCAACAATTCAATGTCCTTTTTAAAGTAATAAGGAAGGGCTGAAAACAATTCTCCAAATGTGGCTAACCTTTGAGATATGATGTAAATATAGATTAAAATCCCATTTGCCCTCCCAAGAGCTTAAATGGGTTAAAACTGATCAGTTAGAACACCAAAATCCTTTTCTTCCTTAAATGCCATTAAGCTTATTCCCATAAAAATTATACTTATAATTAAATTATGATAACCCACATGTATTACCTTACAATTCTTGTAATTAAAAACCATCTGTTGTTTATTGCCCAATGCACTAAGTAATCTAAATCCTTTTATAAAGCAACATCATCATCTTCACAGCCTGCAACACCCAAAACCTTAATACCATTTGCAAATATAAGTAATTTATGAGTCTTACCTTCATATGTATCATTGTTGTAAGTAAAAAAAGAGCAAAGGTACTAAGATTTAGCCCTGAGATTTCCCACTTGTGACTGAACTTAATGTATAATACAACAACCGTCAGATTTCTTCCATAGTCATTTTTTGAGTCAATTTGTTTCCCACACCTATATGTATACAGATAATTTTTCAAAAATAATCTTACCTTCCCTAACACTACAGCTATTACTCAACTGCTAAGGTTTCCATCCTTTGCCCATCTAAGCATAGGTCTGATTTTTTTATTGCCTGCTCCAGTCTTTTATTCCCCACTTAATTGCCCTTGGCAATATCTGTAACGTGACACTCTCCACCTACATCAGTCTGCCATCTATCCGTTTTCTTGATAAAGTGTTCACTAACAGGTTTCTTTGTACTATGACCATTAAAAATACTTTGAGCATTCTTTGTGTTACCTAATTGATTTTCAAAAAAAAAATTGTTTGGCAAGCTGACATAAGCATGAATTCCCAGATTACCATTTCTGGCACGGAAGCAAATCAGGTCTCTCCTATCCCATCTTTGATATCTAGTATCCCCCAACAGTTGGAGGGAGGGGTAGCTCTTAGTTGAGGCTATCCTAACCTTATTCTTAGTGAGATGGAGACATATTTGATCTGGGGGTATTTTTCCAGGGGTCTAAGGTTGCACTTGTGAGCAATCCTGAACATTCTGGAGAGAATTTAGATTTGGTTTTTCCAGTGTCTTCTTTTACTCTGTCAGCTTTTCATGAGGTCAGTTTGTGTCAGCTAGCTCTGGCTCCTTTTTTATAGTTGGTCAATCAAGTGTGTGATGTTTTGGGTCTTTGCCAGGTGCTTTTGAGTTTGTGCCTTCCTTCATGGTGGAAAGGTTCTCTGGGTGAATATTTAGTTCTCCCTCCATCCCCTAATATTGTGGTTCATGAAGGGAAGTTTACTGCTCAGTTATGTGAGGAGACAGCAATGCCATGTTTGTCAGAACAACATGCTTTCACCTACCACCACCAGGTGGATGTGATTTTAGATTCTCAAAGAATAAACCCACTCCTGGAAATATGGGGTTCCAGAATGGAATCTGTGATCAACCTGAATAGATCACAATTTTCTAGGATTCGCCTGACCCTAGCTACAGTTCCGAGATATTTATCATTCCTCCAGCTTTTTTCGGAAGCCTCTCAGCGATTACCAATCAATCTGACGATGAGTTGGGACCCATGTTGGCATATAGCTTGGTTCAGTTGTCACCTTCTGCACTGTCCCTAGTCTCTTGACTGGTGTGTTGTTAGGATTTGTTGGGTGAAGATGCATTGTTGGAAGGCATTCATCTACTGGTTGCTGCCCTCTGGGAGTTACATGAGGTCTCCTTTTTCTGATCTTTGATTTTTGTGCCTGTTCCAGTGTCTTTGGAATCATGGGTTGATGTTGCCTGTCTGCATTCATTTCTGTCACCCTTGGCTTCTCAACTCCTACATGGAGTCATACTACCACCCCTACACAAGTGTCCTGACATCAGCCACTCAGTTCATTGGTACCCAGAATTGATTCCACCCATATCTACAAGGTTCCTCCACTCAGTTGGAATGCCTACAGTGGTGGTGGTGACTACTGTATGCCTTTGGAGTCTGTGGGGACTCAGCTGTGAGAATGTCTGGAAAATCTTTAACACAGATCCATGGGTACTACAGGTCCTTGCATCGATATTAGTTGTTCAGTTCACATCTCCACCACCATTACTCCCCCTCCCCCCAACCTATAGTGTTTCTGACTCCTGCAGATCCTCGGTTTCAAAACTGTGTTCCAAAGTTATCAGAGATTTGTTGGTTGAGGGAGCAGTGGAGAGAGTCATCCCAGTTCTTCCAGGGTTTTATTCCTGCCTGTTTGTTGTGCCCTATAAGACAGGAGATTGGCATCTGGTTATCAATCTTTCTTGTCTAAATCAATTCCTCGATCTTTCAGAATTCACGATGGAGTCATTCCTCACTCTGCTTTGGCATTTTTCACCAGGACTACAAATGACGAAGTTCGATGTTACTGATGCCCATCTGCACAGTTCCATAGCAGAGTTGTCCTGCCACTATATACATTTTGTACACAAGGGTCAGGTGCTGCAGTTCAGAGCTTTACCATTCAGACTAGCATTGCCACCATATGTGTTCTGCCAAATCTTACAAGCTTTTTTCTCAATACCACTATTCCATAGGCTTGTGTGCACACCATTAGATGGATGACTGGTTATTGTTGGCACCATCTCATCACTTGGAGGAAGGTCATACTCAGATTCTGTTTTCAGAAGCAACCAAGGCAGGCTTTATTTTCAGAGGCATGAAATATATTCTCACTCCAACTCAATTTATCGTCCATCTGGGTGTCTTTTTCAACACTTGTTGGGCTCCGCTGACTCTTATTCATATTCTCCTTCTCCCACTGTGAGTATGGTTGTTTCTCTTTTGGGGATATGGGCATCACTCAAATCTCTTATTCCTTTGAGATGAGAGCACATAAGATCCATTCAATGGTCTTTACATGACCAATGGATCATGAACAGCAATCCACTGTCTTCCCCAGTCTTCTTATTCAGGATCAACATCTTCAATCTTAAGTGGTGGTTAGATTGGAACAATACTATGATAGGTGTTCCTCTGCCACCACCTCATCCAGAGATCTATCTCTTCACAGATGTGTTGCTTCAGGGATAAGGTGCATATGTCAGCAGTCAGGAACTCCAGGGCCTATGGATAGACAATGAGGCTTCTCAACACATCAGTGATGAAGAACTTCTTGCTATTCTAAGGGCGATGACTCAAGGTCTGGACTTACTGAGGGGAAAAATCATCATGCTTCACTCCAACAAATCCATGGTGATGTCTTACATTTCCTATCAAGGGGCACTCAGTCCAGATCTCTTTGTTTTCTAACATTGGATCTTCTGTATTTGGGCTACTCCCATTATATCATTCTACTAGCTTGCCATGTTTAGGGGGTGATGAATTTGGTTGCAGATCAATTGTTTCGACCCAGCCAGGCTCTCCCAACAGAATGTATGCTGCATTACAAGGTTTCCATTGGATTTGCCACTCATTGGAATACTCAACTACCAGCATTTTGGTCTCCAGTATCTCACCCTCAGGCATTGGAAATAGATGCATTCAGTCAGGACTTAATGGGGTTGCACCTCTATGCCTTCTCACCAATTCGTTTGTTACCCAGAGTCTTAGCTATGATTCATTCAACCTCTTGTCATGCTCTGTTGATAGCATCGGATTGGCAGTGCTCAACCCTGGTTTCTGCTTCTGTGGTACCTTCAAGTGTGTCTATGTCTTCCACTTCTTCTTTGGCCATCTCTGTTGAGGAAGCCATGATCCAACATCGTACACCCAGCCATCCTGAAGCTCAACCTTCATGCATTGAGGTTATGCAGTTCTTTACATGACATCTGGGTTTCACTTCTAAGGGTGCCATGTATCTGTCTCTGCACAGTTCCACAATAGACATTTATCAACGAAATTGGCATATATATCGACAATGGTGTATTGTGAGGAGGTTGAACACACTTTGTCGAGAAGTGTCAACCACAGCTTGTTGTTTGACCTGGCTCTGTGACAAGGGTTTAGCATCTTCCACAGCTGCCTTATCGACTATATTTAGATACTCGAAGAGATGAAACTTATTTCAGTCCCCAGTGCTCCTCGGCTTCTTGAAGTGGTTCCGGATCTTTCGTCCCAAAAACACCATTTCAGTTACTTAAATGGGATATTAAGGTGGTATTACTTGCTCTTTCTAGACATCTGTTTCAGCCCTTAGCCTCATGTACCATGTTTCACCTTTCCCTTAATGTTTATTATTTGTTGCTTGGGGCCTGTGGACGTCATTGGTCGGAGTTGTTTGCACTGCATGTGCACAGGATGCTTTATCATTCTATGTACGTTCTCATATACCCAGACAGGTCCTTTTTACCTAAGACACCGGAAACTGGGGAACGGGATAAATCCTTTTCACAAATTCATTTTGACCACTTTCTCACCTCTATAACCAATCGGATCCCAATTGTTTGGTATTTCCAGTGAGGGCCTTAAAATGTTATGTTGCCTGCATTAACGCCTTTCGAGGTGCTAGACAATGACTTTTTATTCATTGGGATCCTCCAGTTCCCAGGATTTATCCCAGGTTATCTTGGCAAGATGAGTACAAAAATTGATCCATATTACTTATTCTGGGCTCTCTTTGGAGGTGAGGAGACTTCTATGCATCATGTCTTATCAGATTTGCCACATTTCTATGTTCTTAGCAACCTGGTTGCTAGAAGACATTGTGTGGGCTGGTATGGTGACCTCCCCCAATTCTTTTATCTCGCATTATATGCAGGATTGGGCAGTATCTTCCTCTGAGTGTTTTTGACTACCCCCTGGAGCTATCTTAACCACATCTGCTTGATTATAAAGAGGGATAAGTATCTTCATTACTAATCTTGTCTTTTTACATTCCAGGATCCATTACCTCTTTTTCAGGAGTGTATCCCAGACATTTGTGATTTAATCAAACCAAATCTTCATTAGCAACCATTAACAAAATATACTTTATCTAAGTTGCAATAGGCTATGTAGAAATGAGGTGTTCCATAAGACCACTTAGAGCCAGACCGGGTGGTATTACTGTACTATGCTGGACCATTGCTCATAAACTATTATGATCATTGGATTGAATAAATTGGGGTCGGTTTACTTTTAAAAGTTTAGGAAACTTGGTTCACCTATTGCACTGTTTTCAGAGCATTGTTCCTCAGGACTTCCAATGTGCATTACTCCATCCCTCAATATTCTGCTAGTGGAGCTAGGGAGTCCTTACCACACCTGATTTCCTTTTTTTTCCCAGATGTTGTTAGGAGAGGCACCAGCCTACATGGGAGCTTACTTGAAATACTGGTTCAGATTTGATGCTTGGCTATCTGGTTGGGTTAAGCTTGGCCCTTATTTTTGATCATATTGCTTCAGTACATTCTTCATGGAAGAGGGTCCATTGTCTTCTCGTAATTCCAAATGCAGAGTGGTCCAATCCTTGCTTGAGCACAGTTTGTACAATGTCCTCCCCATAATTCCAGGGACAAGTGGAATTTAGCTTGTCCACGTGGTTGGGGAGTGAGGATGAGTGTTCATAATTACAGACTGGATGAGTTCCATTTCTTCAGGTTGAGTATGGCATACAGGATCCCATTATTTTGAGTTTGGGGGTGTTGCTTTTTGGACTTCTTCAGGTTGAGGAGAAGGTTTGTCCACTTCGGTATTGCTTACCTTCTCATCATGATTCCAGTGGCTTGAAATGCATCACTCTGTAGTTACAGATTGTGATCTACTCACAAGTATATATATTGCAGTCCAAATGCTCTAGCCACCAACATGGGATTTAGGGAACATAGTCCTATAATTCCAACCCCAAGTAATGGAACCTTGGCTACCGGGTTGGGGCGTGGCCAATAGTGATGATGGATCCTGTCAATTTCTACTATCAGTGCATGAATTAGGTTCTGGGTGAAGAGCATACCTGTTCTGGATCTGGTGAGATTCTCCCACTAGGGTACTAATCTTCTAATGGCATGCCCACGATCTTTGCAAATGCATTCTGAATGGATAATGCCCTCATCGGCCCCTCCACCTTATCAATTTGGTACTAGCTGTAGTGTGAGCAGAGTTAAATATGTTTTGGAAGTTAACATTTTCTTAACACGAAAATGTATTTCCAATAATATTTGCCTCCTTTTACACTCTCCTACCCTTCCTCCTCACTAATAGCCAGTGTTAGAGATTGTGTGAGTCTCAAGAAAGTGATAATATTATCTGAAAGAGGTGCTTATATATAGTACCAGGATAGAGGACACATTGACATAGGCGGTGAGTGTCACGAGACAGATATCACCAAGGGCAATTAAGTGGATAATATAAGACTGGAAGAAGCAAGAAAAAGTCAGACCAATGCTTAAATGGGCAAAGGAAGGAAACCTTAGCAATTGAGTAATAGCTATAGTGGAAGGAGGAATAAATATTATTGGAAATATATATTTTCAATTTAAGAAAATTTTAAGTACCATGTTCTTATAAACAGCTCTTATAATTTCTTTTATTAATTATTTACAGTAGTAATGAACTTTAAGTATCATATTTTTTTAGTCCTTTGCTAATTATTTTATCTTTTATCTGCATAAGCTATGCATTTTTTTTTAAACTCTTTAAGATATTACTATTTTATTATTGCAGAAACATTTTTCAATAACCTTTAAATTTATTGTATTTCTAAAGTGAGTTTTCATTCTCAGGAACCGATGCAAGTAAAGTAATCAAAAGAAGAAAAACTTCTGATATTAGAGAGTAAGTAACTAGCACTTGAAAATAATTTGAATTAAGGTTGTAATTTGTACACTTTATATGTATTGGTTTGGTATTCAAACAAACTGAGGACTTTAATGTCTACCTTTGTAGAAATCTTTATGAGTTATAGAGGTATTTTTAATATTTATGCAAACAGTACTGAAGCTCTTAGGTTTAAATTCACCAAATTATATTTAAAAGATAGTCCTGTATTTGTTTGCAAAGTTTGATAATATTTAGATATAATGATCAGTTTATAGAAGAACAAAAAGCATTATTGATGTGTATTGATGATGTGTTTTATTTATACATGTAACTAAACTACAAGTCAAGTTTTAATACTTTTACACTTACCCTACTATTATATTTATTTAGTAACCCTAATGATATAAACTTTCCAAAAATTAAAAGCAGTTAAAATAATTTTAATATGCTTACAATACTATAAACTTTTTGTTTTTACTAGTCTGCAAAAAGTATTCCTGCAGTAGCTGACATTTAAATATCAAGGCTGTTTACATTCAGTAACATGTTTAGACAATTGAAATAAAATACCCCTTTTTCTAGTATTTGGTAAATGCAAAAATTCCATGTAATCTAGAATGAAGTTAAGATCCACTATTACAGACCAAGTTTCGAGACTTTCACATGTCTTCTTCAGTCCAACTTTTGTTTGTGAAAGAAATACACACACACAGTTTATTTTATAGCAGAAGTTTCAAATTGCTTCAGGGCACAAGTCATCAGAAAGAGGTTTAGCTTAAAGTCACTTTAGGAGGTGTGAAACTATTACAATCTTTGGATAAGTAAACTAACCACATTTTATTCTTTTAACATAATTTCTAGTTTTATATATTGTTTGAGCTGATTTCTAGTTTATTTGATAATTAGGATTCCTCATGTGTAGAAATATAACATTATTTGTTTTACCATTTTTAATATCCCTTTTATGTTCTGCAAGTCATCTATCTAGTTTCCTTCCTGTTTTACCAGAATGAACATTTTTTTGTAGGATTGGCATGGTTTTATATAGACATCATGCCCGTTATTGTGATGTTTAGACTTGTTCAAGGTTAAGAAATTTATTGATGTTGGGATATTTATAGACAAATTTAAATTGTTGTTTAACATACATTTCTCAAAAGCCATAGTACTAGAACTGCAATTGATACTAAGTATTTTATTTCTATTTTCACATATAGATGTAACTAGTTGTTATTAAAAAAAATGTCTTCCTTGCCTTTCGATGATAGGCCTTTTTAATAAAACCAATAGGATACTGTAGCTATTTGAGACTTGTATAAATATTTTTGATTGAATTCTGGTAGACTTATCTATGAAATACTGATTGATATTCCTTGTTGAATTTGAACTCATGCTGTGAACATAACATGTGGCTAAAAATTTCAGAATATCCTTTATGCATTGTAGAGTATATGTCACTTACTCATAATTTTTCATTCTCTTAACTTTCATGTGACTTATTGTGAAGTGACAGGTGATCTTGCATAAGTTCTACTTTTCTGCCATAATTTAGATTTTGTGCTGACAACTTTGAAAGTATGTTCTTTCTGATATATCTATTTCCACCAGAATCGGAATTTTTATGACTTAGTTGAAAGCCTTATTTACATAATTAGCCTGTAGTGTGCAGGGTAACTTTGTAGATACATTTTTGGTTTCAATAGTTCAATATAGTTGTGCACTTGTATTCTTGTCTTCCTGGCAGGTATCATGTTTTTGTGGAAGCTTAATTTGTGTAGCACTCAATAATTTTTTTTCTATGAAGGTTGATCCTTTACTTAGAGCTAATCACCTTCAGAGTTTGCAGAGCTGGATTTGTAGACTACAGTGTAACCTTGATTCTGACAACACTTTTGCTGGTCTTTTTTTTTTCTCTCGGGTATATTTTCAGTATTTCGGTTACATCTGAGGATGCTTGTGTCATGTGAAGCTACTCACTACTTGAATCATTCATTCATCCAACCTTCATGTGATATTGGATTTGCTCAGAAGTATTTTGAAGCTAGGACTGTTTTTATATTCTCCTTCCACTCTTTCTTCTGAAGATTTTCTTCCTTCAGTTTGGTTATGGGGGGGGGGAGGCTTCCATATTGTTTTTCTTTGACCCATTGTCAGTTTTCTGCTCTGAATGCTAGGATTTGTCTCATTTTTGGAACATTCTTTTTCTGCACCAAATATGTCCTCTCTGAATTGGTAATGATAGCCTCTCTTTACATGGCAATTCCCATGGATCATATTAATTTGAAGCAGAGTTAATGGTATCTTGTCCCTTTGTGGAGTTTATCCTTGGACCTTTAGTTCTATTGAAATTTCTTCTACTATTCTAGATTACCTCCAACTGTGGCTCCTTTGTCAGTTCCCACTGTATATTATCCTTCTTCCATTTTCTCTGGATCCCTCATCTTTTTGCTGATGCCTCTCTCTCTCTAGGGCTTTGGTGATATGTTGGGGATCTGTCATCTTTTGGGATTGTAGTTTTCTCAGATATCCCATTCTCTTTTCACTCTGCTGGAGCTTTGGCTGTTCAACTTGAGTATTGAGTTTTCCTGTACTTGTTACACCATTACTTTGTTGTAGTACTAACAGACAGTTTGACTGTAGTGGCATATATCAACAGTCAGAGTGGGACTCAATCTCACAGCATTTGTTTGCTGTGGTTTCTCTTCTTCTTTGGCTACATTCAGATTGTATTTTTTTTAGCTGATATTTCATTGCTTGTGCCAAAGGTTTGGTCATCCTAGTGACAGCAATTGCTTTTAGTGTATCTTGGGAAAAGTTTTTCTATATGCCTATCCTATGCTTCTTCAGATATTGGCCAAGATCAGTTGGTCCTATTGTCCAGTTTTTCTTATAGCTCCCTGTTTGTCTGTACTATGGTTTCTCTGATTCTGTTCCATTACGTTTTGGGGACATCTTTCACAACAACTACATTTGTCATCTGCAGCTTTATGGCTGGCTATCATACAGTCCTTTGTTAGTAAATCTAGCTTCTCTTCTTCAGCAGCTCAAATATTGTCACATTCTTGCATATATTCCTCGCTGGCAGTATATCACTCTCAATTGTCTCTCTTTAGAAGGTGATGCCTGTGGAATTCGGTTTCTTGTCTTTATCTAACCCATCAGCAGCTTACCTCAATTTTTTTATATATGTTTTTCACGATTGGAGCTTGTCTACTTCTATTGCAGGTTACAGAGCTACACTCTCAGCCACTTTCAGTAGTGAAAAATGTCACATTACAAGTTCTTTCTCTGGCTTTTTGATTACATCTTTCAAGAGTAGCAAGACATTGTAATTAGTGGGATTTAGTTCTGATCTTAAGTTACTTTTCCTGAACCCTTTGCAACTTTTTACTTTAGTATCTATTCTTAACACTGTATTTTGTTATTCTCATCTGAGGAGAGGTGATCAGACTTTTTTGCCATTGATGTTTCTCATACTCTTTTCTTCTTTCCAGAGAGGCTCTGTCCTCATATTTTGATAGTGTTTTCTTACTATAGGTTTGAACTGAGAGATGTTCAATGCTATTTTTTCTCCTATTATGTTACATTCTCTGACCAATCTTGACTCTCCTTATATGTGGCCAGGGCTATTTGTTCCTATGTTGTAAGAACATAATCTTTTTGAGCAAATCAGCATAGGTTATTTTTACCTTATGACGATTCTTGTTCCATGTATCTTGCTCCTTCTACATTAAATAATTAATTTGTGCAGCTGAGCTGTTTTATTTATCAAGATGTCCTTGACCATCTTAAGCTTGGATTTTAAATTAAATCTAATCATGTTCTCCATTTGGCTGTCTTTGGTCTATCTTTAGCACAGGGTTTCTTCAACGTTTTTTGTACCTCAAGATTCACTTAGTTATTTGGCACAATAGTAAAAGCCCACATATACAATTAATGACTTGTAAATTAGGGCAGTCACGATTGTCCTGGTCCATGATAGCCCATAACTGTGTGTCTTACAGGCTGGCCTGGGAATAAATCTGCATATATTTTTTTTGCTATTTTACCTACATCACATTGCTCTATCTTCAGTTTCAGGATTTCATTTGCCACCTATCATTAGAGTCCATATTCTCTGAGTTTTTGTATATTCTGTCCAACACCTATCATTAACCATTTTAGGGTATCTGGTATTATTAATGATTTTGGCTTCACAACAAGAAAGGTAAAATAATTAAATGCAGTCTGTTCATATGTATGAGAATTTGTCCTGTCAGGACTTTTTAACCTCAGTTTTTGCCTGAGGCAACTCGAGTATTTTTATATTGCACAACACTTATATTCACAAATCTAGGAGTATTTGAGGTTGAGAAATTACTTGTTTATAAGAAAAACAAAAAAACATGCTTTCTCCTTCTGTGAGACTGTGTGTTTGTTTATTCAGTTGGACCTCTTGCTCTCCATGTCACATATTATGCCCTTTAGAAGTGGACAGAGGGTGTCATCTAGTGGTTGATGATACCTTTGCAGTTAGGCTTCCCACCTTCATATACACATCCTTGTGTGGCATTAGAGATGTGTGAAACAAGACTTGTGGAATTATGTTTTGAAAATAGTTTATTCACATGCATGGGACAATACTACAGATCAAAATGAAACATGGAATGGCTGTGGACAATCCTTTATTCCCAATTCTTTGTAATGTCTTTTGGGAGTATTTCAAAAATTAATTCCTTCTGATATATAATGACATTTTCTGTTTGGCAAACAATAGAAATGATTTTCAAACCTTTTTCTAAAAGATTAACAACCTTCACAATACTATTAAGTTTAAAGGGGAATTGTAAACCAATGATTTGCTTCAATTTTTCGAAATTTTCGTTACTAGAAAAGGAATGGGACCTGTTCTTTCTATCCATAAAAATACATACAAACAAAGCCAAGCTCACTCTTTTTCTTGCTGCTACAAAATTGCTAAAACATAAATTATAGCTTTAGTGATTTTAAGGGCTTATAGAATGTGTCGCCAAATG